TATGATTGTATAATTAGACCACAGTGCAATGTGTTCAGGATTCAAAGAAAAAAATAGAACCAGATAATAACATAAACTGATGACAGAATATGATCAAATACATCCGTTTGGACACCAAATGCTAAGATCAACTAAAATATGTTGACCTAGAAAAGCTGAAAATAAAAGAATGGGTGAAAATATTATGCAAAGACAAACAAATTAAAGCCGAGGTTGTGGTTTAACATTAAACACAGATGAATTGGGGTAAAAATCATTAGGATCAAGAACATTTGTCACAGGAAAGACTAGAATTCACAATGATGACATAACCTATAAATGTTCTCTATTAATGCAGGAAAATTCGTTAAAAAATTAAGAGGAACTTGGATAAGAAGTAGAAACACAGTAGTGGTAGGAAATGTAAATCTTCACAGTTTATGACCGACCAAGTGACAAAAAATTACAGAAAGATATAGAAGACTAAATAACTTAACTCATGCAGCTCTGATATGTATTACAGAATGCACACACATCTGCAAATATACATACAGACAATGGAATATGCCTTTTCTAGTGCTCGTGGAATATTAAGACACACTGAATATACAGGAGGGGCAAAAATAGGTTTACAGTTATTTGTCTGAAAAATAATACAATAATTATTAAATAATAATACAAGAACATACTCTTGATTTGTGTACTCACAACTGTAAACCTACTTTTGCCCTGCTCTGTATATTAGGCAAATAAAAAGAATTCCTTTTTTCATAATTCTGACAAAGAACAATAGTTTAATTTCTTGTAATGACGTGCAAGACCAACCTTTCCTACCGGAGGCAACTAAAGACAAATGGATAAAACAGAAAGAAAAAAATCCAACAACTTTCTTTAAACCTTTACGGTACTGAGCCATCCAATCCAAAGTTCAGGAGAAAGTGAACATCCATTTTTGCCTGAAGAGCATCTGCTGGCCTGGAAGAAGGAACTGAGCTGAGCTTTGTGCCTTGAAGACCAAATCTGAAGAAACCCAAAGCCCTGGCCCATCAATGGCGGCCGCATTGACAGAGACGTGCCACCTTTAATTTGGGATTCCAAACAGCTACCCCCTAAGGCACGAGGGAACCAGAACTCAACCAGGCCTCCCAGAGGCTCACAAGGCTGGAGGCCCCTGAACTCTCAGGAAAGTTCTCTTACGCCAAGTCGTTCTGAAGGGCATGGTGACTCAGCAGCCAGAAGAGCACCGTTGGCCTTGGGAGAACTAACATGGCTGTCAGTGGGGGCAAAAATCGAAGATAGAGAACAAACCCAACGAACCTTGTGTATATATTCAACTTAAATGGTGACAGTATTTTTCTGTTTGAGCTCGGACGGTCCCTTCAATGTCCAGCTTTCAGTGCCCCAGGAATGGGACTACAGTCCTTCCACAGCTCCATCTCGGGGTGGCCAGGTGAACCCATCAACCTCTCACTCCAGCCTGTCACACTTCCCCATCAAAAAACACGAGTACTTCTGCCTGGCCGGGTGGCTCAGTTGGTTAGAGTGTCGTCCTGATACACCAAGGCTGTGGGTTCGATCCCCAGTCAGAATCAACCAATGAGTGCATAAATAAGTGGAACAACAAATCGATGTTTCTCTCTCTCTCTCTCCCCTGGCCCATTCCCCTTTCTCGTTCTCTAAAAAAAAAAAAAAAAAAAAAAAATCGATTAAAAAATTGTTTTAAAAATAGGAATACTTGTACTATCAACAGTCTGTGCATGCTGACAAATGGGAATTTGAAGCAGTATAGTCAAATAACTTCCTGTTCCATTATGTAATTTCCTCACATGAAACCATATAAGAGAGAAGGTGCTTGACTTGCGGAGACAGATCAGGAGGTAGGACAGCAGTTTGTAGGGAGGGAACTAGCTCTGCTATCTGCGTTCGTACTAACCGAAGGGAGGGATCCTTTTGCCAGGCAGGGGGTCAGAAGGGGACACGCAGATGAGCACCTAACACGGACCAGCACTCCAATGCCCCGTCGTCTCTGAGCCACAGCACTGATGTTCATGCAATAGGACAGTTGAGGCAGGAATCCAATTACTGAGCTAATGAGCGCCTTGGAGTGGTCAGCACCAGATTTACAGGAGAAAAGCACTGGAGAAAAACTCAAATCGCCCGGCATGGCTGACAGTTCACTTTCTTAGCGCGTGTGGCTCAGGGCTGGAGGCCCCGGGGCGCACAAGCAGCTTAGCTCAGTTATTGCTCGTCGGACTGTAGCACTCGCATTTTATAGCCTTTGGAAAAGATAGCTTTCCAGTTAACATTCTTTTAGAAGGTGTTTGAATTCCCTAAGGAATTTGGTAAATGACTTTCTTTTGGCTCAGTCCCACTTTAAAAATTGTTTATTCCGCTGCTGAAAATTCCATTTGTCCTAGGTCTTAAGGTGAAATTAAAATTCCACTTAGGGACTAACTATGTCGACAGGGGATTTGGGCCGTCATTAGAAAGAATTTTGTTGTTTGCTTTATTCTCTGCCACGCTGGCTCTTTTATTGTCAAAGCTGATCTGTGGGCATTTTGAAGGACAAGTGAAGCGGTAGTAGGACCGCGTGCCGGGGTTGATAGCCCCTGGGTTGTCACGGATGATCCCTCTCTCTAACCCGATCAGAGCCTTCCCCACGGAGCTCAGTCGGAGGGTCTGCGATGCTTCTCAAGTGAATGTCAAGTAAATTCCTAGCACATGCGAAGGAAAGAGAATATTTTTTTTTGAAGACAAATTTTTCCATTTATTCAAATTACAGTTGCATCTAGGTATCAATTTTTTAAATCCTCATCCAAGGATAAGTTTTTTTATTTTAGAGAGAGAGGCAGGCGGGGGGGAGAGAGAAAAAAACATCGATGTAAGAAACCAACATCAATTGGTTGCCTCTCATATGCACCCCAACCGGGGATCAAACTCTCAACCTAAGCATGTGCCCTGACAAGGGATCAAACCCACAACCCTTTGGTGCACTGGACGATGCCCCAACCAACTGAGCCACCTGGCCAGGGCCCATCTAGGTATCTTTACAATCTGTACCGATTTCTGAGAGACAAACTCACAAAAGGCGTGTGCATGCAGAGGTTTCTTCTTAAGTACCGTTATCAAAAAGTATCTGTCGTTAGTTAAATCATACATCAATTATTAAGTTTAAATGTAACCTAATAGTGGCTACTCTCCTTTCTTCTTAGCAGTTATCATGAGAGAAAACATCTTCAGGGGCGGGATGATCTTTGAATATTCATTTATCCATTCAGCAAATACTGAGAGATTACTGTTCGCCAGCTGTGAGCCAAAAGCTTGCCCTCATGCGACTTAGAGTCTGAGGCAGATAAAATCAAGTAATCACACTAAGAAAGGTGTGGGCTGGAATGGAGTAAAGGCTCCAGAGTCTGCCTGCCTGGGTTCAAAGCCTGGCTCTGCCCCCTCTTAGCTCCGTGACCGTGGGCACGTCTCCCAATCTTGCTGCATCTCAGACTCTTCTCTGTGAGAAGTACCTACTTGAAAGGTAGCTGTGAGGATACAGTGAGTTAATACATGTAAACTACTAACACAAATAAGAGCTACTCACTTCATTATAATTAGACATATACTAATAATTAGATGTAATTAACTAATAGGCATAATAATAAATAGGCATAATTAGACGTCTGATAATGTCATCATTGTGAGCGATATTAGCGGTGACGAGAGGCACGGTGTGTGGAAAGGCACACGGCACACTGATGTCCCCAGGAGCAGGCATCAGGGACGGCGTCCCTGGGGAAGGGAGGCTTGAGCTGCACTGAAGGGCGAGAGGGGCCCCCCCTGCCGGGGGAAAGCTGGGCGGGGCTGGGAGGGGAAGGGAGCAGAGGGTAGGACACTGGTCAGGAGGTGGATGGGGGAGGGGTGTCAAGAGTCACAGGGAAAATGGAAGCCAGTGAGACTGGAGCAGAGTAAGCGAAGGGCTGAGTGACAGCAGCGGCCGGGGACAGGATAGTAAAGATCGGGTTTTGCACAATTACTATAGGACCTTCCTTATGTTCAAACTTTGTATGTAACCCTTGTTCCATGGCCTATTTCTAGTTAAAGCCCTTTACTGATGGCGTAGGTTTAACGCTATGAAATTGCCGTTTTTATAGATCATAACTGGCCGAATATCATCAGCCTCACATGGTCAGCATCAGTGTCACGTGTCATCCTTCAAAGGATGACCAGCCACCGCTCATCTGAACTCAGAAGACAGCTCCGGTCAGGCAGGCTCTCTGGGCAGGGCAATTGTCAGGGGCGGGGGACAGATGGAATTCAAGGACTGGTGAAGTTTTAAAGACACCAGTGGAGTGATACCATTGGCACAGGCAGTGACTTGGGGAGACTGTCATTGACAGGTCACCGCTATCTGATGCCTTTGAGAAGCGAGGGGCTATCATGCATTGATCGGCTTACAAAAGCTGTGAACTGAGGTGAGCTGCCACAACTGAACAGGTTTCAACCTGGCTCTGGTGGCCCCTTGTTACCATGGCGACCAACAAGCTGCTTCTCCTAAGTTGGTGAGAGCTGTTTCCATTTTTGTGGTTCTCCCTGAGAAAGGCCTGTAAGAATACCCCCACCTCCTGCAAGCAAGGGATGGAGATGCGGACCACGTGCCCTGATTTTCCAGAATCGGTTTGAAAAGAAAAGGGGCACGCTGTCCTGTTCTGACAGCGAGGGACAGTCCCCTGGCAGTTCCAGTGCTGGCTTGTGTTCTTGGGACCCGGTGCTCCGCATGGATAAGGCCCAAGGCCATTCCCCTGAATCCTGAGAATGCGTCATCTCTCCCCTCCGCGCGTTTCTCATACATTTCCCTCTCTTCTGTACCGCGAGATCCTCTCTTTGCGGTGTGGCCAAACTGGAGCCGTCGGCCTCATGTGCTGTATGTGAGCTCCATGCCCCCGCCTTCCCTGCTCACACGCTGAGCTGTGTTCCTGCTCCCTCACTGGGGATCTAATCATGACTCTTCGCCCTTTTGTGGTCCCTTCTAGTACAAAACGCATGGATAATTCCAACACCAGACTGGTGGTCCAAATTGAAAAGGATCCAGGTAAGAAGTTATCTTTCTCCTCTTTTATTAAAATTATTTATTTTGTCACATAGATGGGTTCCTTCAATCCAAAAAAGGAATTAAGTACTCACTCCTCTAAGTTATTGTGGAGACAATGCGTGTCTTGGTAAATAGGCTCACTGTAAAGGTAGCTCCGTGTAAGTAGACTGGGCGTGCTTTCCGATTTGGTTTAGAAATGAATTTGTCCATTATTTAGAATCGATTCAGGCATCGAGCAAAAAGGAAAAAGGATTCATGGACATGGACTACAGTGTGGGGGTAGATGGAAGTGGAAGAAGGTATAAGGGGGATAAATGGCAATGGAAAAAATACCATAAAAATAAATTTTAAAAAAATGCATGCACGCACAAACACAACAAGAACTGATTCAGCGCTGAATGCCTCTGTTAATTAAGACGTCTTTGTTTTTGTGTGATAGGCATCCAATACAGACTATGAACCTTGGTCTTTTAGTAAAATTTCTTTAGAAATACGTCAGCCGTATAGGATGCTGGCTTGTCCTTAAAGGCAAGCCATTCCACGGTCCAAGATCTAGGACCCAGAAGTCTTCAGATATTTCATTTAGCATTAAACTATGGAAGCATTTACCCGCTAGAAAAAAATTTTACTTTTTTCTTTCTATAATCTGTCTAATTTTTAATCATTCTACCTCTTTTTTTCCTCATATCAGAATGCAAATTTTAACTCCTCCATTTCTATCCACCTCACTCTCCCCTGTGCCAGAAATGTTGTTGAGGACGAATCGTATCGTGCCCATCATCTGTATCTGAATTGCATGGACACGATTAATTTGAAATCACCAGATGAACTTTGAAAATACCTGGAGAGACACTTTTTTTGTTGTTGTTGAACTTTCTGTCAGTACAACGTGGGAGTGGTACAAATATCTCTAAAGCGTAGCTGTGGGACTCGATCATATTGCAGGCGCAGGGACATTAGACATATGGACAGTGTCACAAGTGCACTGTGCCTTTAATTATTCATCATTTTGTCTTGTTTTAATATAATTATGCAGCTGTGCGGTCAATGTGTTCTGCGAAGATCTCCCCTTTTGGTGGATTAAATTGTTTTGTTTTATTTAAACATCAAACCGTTTAAACAATTAAGCAAAGGTTAATTTTCTCATTCAGGCCCTTTCTTTAAAACTGCCAGAGACTGCAAGTAATCTCTAATTAGCGTCTCAGAATGCATGCTTAATTATCCTAGGAAATGAATATAACAGAGGTCAAGCAGGCTTTATCTGCATAGAAAATTAAGCACACTGATTCTTCATTAGACTACATGACTTCACTCAGCCCATAGAATAGTTTATTTATTTCCATTAGTCATAATTAAGTTATAAATATACTAATTTCAATTCAGCTCTGACTGTCATGAATGCCTAGGAACGCTACTCATAATTTGGTAGTATTACCTGATAGTTTCCTGGAGGTCGATCAGCCCAGCGCACTTTATGAAGGAGCACCCGGGGCCAGTCTTCATGTTCCCTAATCATGTTTCGATGCCCAAGCAGAGCAGGAGAACGCGGTTCAGACCCATGATCTATCTCGGGTCTTCCTGCGTCCGGGTCCCGCCTCAATAGATGGCCTGCACCGGAGCCTGAACAACATTCTGAGCAACATTCTGCCTCTCTGACTTTCCAGAATTGACTCCTCAAAGAAAAGATTCTCCTAAAATAAAAGTTCTAAGTGCAAACTTTTCTCCCAGCCCCTCCCAGCGCTCCCTCCACCCACAGGACCCAAACCAGGAGGACTGCCCCGTTTATTGACCTCTCCAAAAAGTTCCAACCCCTCCTCTTCAACATGCAACGGAAGGAGCCAAAGGAGTCAGGGCCCAGTGGGGAGATAAAGGAAACACACCATGACCCCCAAATTCCACATCCCCCCAAACACATACCCCCCCGGACTTCCGTTGCAAAGCAGGGCATTCTATCATTTTATATTCTTTGCTGTGTCTGTCCTTCAGTCTTCCCTCCGTGTCATGTCCACCCAATTAGAACAGCTCAAATTAAACGAGCAAGGAGGCTGAACAGCCCGCGCTCTCAGTCACTGTGGAGGGGGAGCAAAATTAAACGTGACAAGGAGACCAAAGAGCTGGGAGTGCCGGTCACTGTGGAGGGGGAGGCAGAAATGGTGCAGCCACATCAGAGCCACAGTCCTGCTCCCGAGGGTTTACTCAAGAGAAAGGAAAACGATGTTCACACAAAGTTCTGGTCATGAGCACTTTTAGTGGATTTGCTCATAATCGCCAGAACTGGAAACAACCCAAGTGCCCTTAACCTGGCGAGCGGGTGAACCCTGTGCAGTACGTGCAGAGGACTAGTGAGTGCTCAGCGCGAGATGCAGCGACCTGCTGCTGTGTCTTCAGCAGCCTGGCGAATCGCAGATGGCTTCGCTAGGGGTGGTTACCTGGCTATATGCACTTTTTAAAACTCATGGGATTGCACACTAGAAAGGGTGAATTTTACTCTGCATGAATTATTCCTCACTAAATCTGAGTTTTATGTATGCATTGTTTTTTACACATATATACACATAATTTACATGTTTATACACATATAATTTAAAAACAGTAAATAGCATCTAAATATAAGATAATCATTTATATTCTACATTTATTATAATCATTTATATATACATTTATTATATATTATTAATAAAAATCATTTATTATATACATTTGTATATGATATATAGCACTAACAATAATTATCTATATGGTAGCAGATAGATAGAGCTATTTACTATTCATAAATTATAACTCAATGAGTTTGATTACAAAAAGAAAAATCCTGGAATTACTTGACAGGTATGTGCTTAAGAACAAAATTTCTCTGAAAGAAACTACAGTCTGTGGTGTTATCTATTATTCAACAGATATTTAGTTAGTCCTTGCTGCATGTTAGGAATCCTGCCAGTATTGGGAGATATTATGAAAATAAGCAAACTAGACATAGATTTATCTTCTTCATGTTATGGTGCATTGGAGAAATCAGTTGTTAATCAAATAACCATAAAATCATATACGCACAAAAGCTAAGTATCAAATTCCAACCGTGACAAGTGCTTCAAAGCAGAGGATCACGGTGCTGAGAGCCGGCAAGAGGGGATTTGGCCCAGCCCAGTGGTCAGAAGGTTCCCTGCCGTGGTGATGGAGATGAGGCTGAAGAATAATTAGTAGAGCTAATAGCAGAGAGGAAAGATAGAGCAAGCCAGGCAGAAGGATCCGTGTCTCCAAAGGCTCAGGGGTGGAGGTGGGAGGGACCTGTAAGTCACTCGAATGAAGGGGGTTCGGTGTTGCTGAGCCCCGAGGGTGAGGAGGGCGTTCGTGTGAGGTGAGGACGGAGGCTGGAGGGTGGGGCCAACGGCACAGTGCCTCTTGTGTGGCCATGTGTCCCGCGTTTGCTCAGAAGTGTCCTAGATTATTCCTGCGAGTGATGAATTCCATGGAACCCAATGACACGTAATGGCAAGAGGTCTTGTCTCTACATTAACAGCAGTGAGAAGCCACTAAGGGCCCCAAGTAATGGGGTCGGGGAGTCCTGGGTAGCATAGCCCGCTGCGCAACTTGAAATGCTGATTCTGCCTTTGGTGTGGAGAGTCGATCAGCTAAGGTCCCCGTGGAGACCCGTAGGTGACCCACCTGACTGCTGCAGTTGTCCACTTGAGACATGACGCGTCTTGGAATAAGGTAGAGGTGACGGAAATGGAAAAAGGTAGACGGATGCTAAAATATTAGAAGAAAGTAAAACTGAGAAGCCTGGGTATGCGGCAGCGGGAACGAAGGTCCCTAGGTTATGGCTGACTGGGTGTTGGTGCTGTTCACTGAGATGAAGAGGGGACAGGAGGAGGCCCGACTTGGGCACATGGAAGGTGAGGTGTGTCAGAGACGACAGGAGAAGATGAGTAGACACGTGTGTATACAGGTCGGACACGCGGTCTCAGCTGGAGGTAGGAATGTGTTCGTGTTCTGCTCTCAGACGCGAATTCAGTCCACTGGTGTAGATGACATGACCTAGAAAATGTATAATGAGAAAAAATAGGAGGGTCTCACAAAACCCACTAAAGTGAGCAAAATATCTGGAGTCTGATGTCACCTTAATCAAACGATGACTCTGTCTCCGAGGTCTGAGTACGTAGGAGTAAGCGTTCACTCAGCCTGTTTCTCGCTCTGTCCGTAGGCAATGACGACAACAACCTCAATTCCATCTTCTATGAGCACTTGACAAGGTCCTTGCAGGAGTCGCTCTGTGGAGACCTGGTTCTTGGGCGGTGGGGTAACTACGGCACCGGCGACTGCTTCATTTTGGCCTCGGATTACCTCAACGCTTTCGTTCACCTGATGGAAATCGGAAATGGTCTTGTCACCTTTCAACTGCGAGGGCTGGAATTCCGAGGTAAGACTCTCTTTCTCGGCTCGGTGGGAGCCAGCGCTTCAGTTAATTATCATGCAAAGCTTTAATGAGGAGTCACCGCGGAAGAGGAAGGATGTCACATGTCACGCCTGTCTTGTAGAATGAGAGTCAGGGAGTGTCCCCCAACCGCCTTCCTCCTGTATTTTGATACGAATGGTCATCTGAGGGGATAACTCAGTGAAGTGTGTGGTCTGGTGTAAACCTTTGGAGTACAAGTTGGAATTTCGGTTTGATTCTTCTGGGAAAAGTGCAGAAGCAATGGGAGCTCGTGGAGCACACGTTCGGAGCGTTTCTTGCATCTGTAAAGTGATGATAATAGTAAGGCCGGCTGCCTCCTAATGTTGTCGTCGGACTTAAATGAGATGGTGTGCATGCAGGTCCCGCATGAATGCTCGGCGCTTTGTGGCCGCTGCATCCACCCGAATCTTGAAAAGCCTGGCCCCGGTTTTCCATTAAGCCGTGCGCTGGAGCGTTGCAGGGATTAGCGTCACAGACGCACCCACGTGCCCCTCCTGTGCTCTTTGGTTAGTCCTTCACTCACCGCCTGGTTTTCCAGCACCTTCCCTGGGCCCGGCAGTGCTAATGCTGGGGACACAATGCACACGTGACCCGAAGGGGTCTCACCCTGATGGTGGTGGCCTTCAGGGGGAGGGGCGCAAGATCACCAGTAACCGTGGGTAAACTAATGATGGGATGGGAAAGTGCTGTGGAGGAAGGAGATAAGGCCCCGTGACCCGAATGGCTGCAGAGGGCGGGGGAGCGTGAGCAGCTGCTCCATGCGGAGCGCTGGCCGGCACGGGAGGGCCTCCAGCGAGGACAGGAGGGAGGCCAGGGGCCGCAGTGCTGAATGGACAGGTCGGGAGCTCTGTGGGCGTCCTCACGCCCGGGGGCCGTGTGACTAGAACACAAGACAGGCAGGAGGAGGAGGCTGTCCCGGGCCTCACAGGCCGGGTAAGGGAGCTGCGTGCTATTCTCTGCATGATGGGCAGCCACGCAGGGCTCTGGAAGGCGGAACGACTGAGCTGATTTGCACTGAGCTGAGATTGTTCTGGTAGCTGTGTGGAGAAAGTGCTCCAAGGGGACTAAAGCAGAAACAGGAGACCATTTAGGAAGTTCAGTAGTCGCACCAGCAGACGGGGTGGAGGGAACGGAAGAGCCAGGAGATGGGGAGGTGGTGGAGCCAGCGGGACGCCCCGCGTTGGGAAACGAGGCTCCGCGTGCGGCTCGGTGCCCAGGTCGGTGCCTGGATGGGCGGAGGCGCATTTCCTGAAACTGGCAGCTTTGCATGCGGAGGTGTAATCAAGAGCTCCCTTTTGGATGCCTTCATTTACAATGCCCTTGATTCATCCAAGTGAATAGATCATGTAGCTAATTGGACAGATGTGTCTTATATTCCCCTCAGGAGACATTTATTCAGCACTCATTCTACGTCAAGCCACGGGCTGGGCACTTCGAGTACAAAAGTGAAGGCCCCACTTAGGAGCCTGGAGCCTCGCTGAGAAGGCAGATGTAATGAGCAATTAGAGATGAGCGTAGGGCCACGCTGTGACCGGGGTGTCACGGGGGGCAGGGAAGGGCGCTTGGATCACACGGGGTCAGCCGGGCAGTAAAGAGGCCACCGTTGGAACAGAGAGGCGGGAGCAGCCAGTATAACAATAAAGAGGCACGAAGTAGCCAGACGTGGGTGCCACGTGGTTGGGGAGGAAAGGGTCACAGACAACGCTAGAAAGGTGAGCAGGAGCCAGGTCACAGCCTCCAAGACATCACAGTGACAAAAGGACATCTTTTAGCCAAGAACAAATTGCCACCTTGTCACATCTTTAACACCATTACCCGCAGAGGACCAAGTCTTTTGGTCCTTAGATTGAGAATTTCTAAGCCTACTTTTGTGAATAGCCATCTCTTTAAATAGCATTCTCAAAGAAATGTGTTGGAAAGGCTTTTTCTTTCGCCACAGCTGTGGGTTCCGTGGTTTCCATGTGTATTCCGAGCGTCCTCACAAGCTGCAGCGACTGAGTTTAGGGAGCTTGTTTTGAAAAGGTCGCTGGGCCGAGAGCGGCGACCAGACTCCACACGACAGTCTGAGGAGGAGCGCTCGCTGGAACCCCGCACGAATGCCAGAGAATGCCAGGGTACAGGGCGGGAGTCACGTGTCTCCAGCGCGATAGTGCAGCAGAATCACCTGTTTCTTTTGAGGCCTTTCCAGTTGTTGTTGTTTTTTTAATTCCACGGAATAGCTGTCAAAGCCAGCCTCGTTGAATCTGAGCTGCAGCTTCTATCAGAAGTTTTAGGCGGTCAACAGCTCCTTTAGCGGACTCCAGTGACGTTTCCGGGTCTGCAGTTAATTAGATTGCAGAAGCCTGAAGCGCGTCGCCCGCCAGCTGGTCACAAGCAGGTTCTTCCTCATGCGCCACGCTGAATGTTCTGGCCTCACCTCACATCAGTTATTGGGGAAGGAGGGGCGCATAACCAACCACCACAAAATGTAACACTTTTTAACAAAAGTGTCCAACCGGTAGCCCGCAGGCCACAAACAGCCCAGGATGGCTGTGAATGCAGCCCAACACAAAATCCTAAATTTACTTAAAACATCATGAGATTTTTTTTGTGATTATGTGTTGCAAAGTATTTAACGTGTGGCCCAAGACAACTCTTCTTCCTGTGTGGCCCAGAGATGCCAAAAGGTTGTAAACCCCTGGTTAAGACAACAAGGATGTCTTTTTACTTCTCACTACGGTGTGTGGCTTCTTCTGCTGGGGTCCCCTGCGGTCACTCTTGCAGCTGCATTCAGCCGGCAGATGAGCGGGACTGGAAGGTCTGAAGGGCCACATCCGGAGCCAGCCACCACCCCTGGCATGTTGTCTCTTCCCCATGTGACTGCCCAGCTTCCTGTGGGCGGGACTAGACATCTTTACAGCCAGGCAGCCTCGGGATCCCAAAAGGGGGAACATGGGATACTTGAAGGCCTCTTACGGCTCAGCCTCCAGGACAGGTCCCCTGTCTCCCCCAGCATGTCCTGTTGGCCAGTGATTCCCAAAGGCAGCTCACGTGCACGACTCCCTAGGGGCCGGTCTTACATGACACACCAGGCCCCAGCAGCTCCATCGGGCCGAATATGGAAGGAGGCCCAGAGCCAACAGCCACGTGGTTGGGCAGAGAGGTGGCGGCTGCATGAGAGGGAGGCCCAGTGGTTCTCTCTGTTTAGGCCCTAGTAGCCCAAAGAACGACCTTGATTTGAGTGATCAAGCTCCATTAGCTGGTGCTGTAGTGACTGATACAATCTCAAAGCGAGACTACAAATAAGGAAGCCACGTTTCTATTCTACTCCTTTTGGCCCATGCCTCTGAGAATAGAAACAGTTCTTCTCTCGTTAATGCAGGGCAGAAGGATGGTCAGCCCTGCTCCTCTTGGGTTTCTGAGGGTTACTTGCATTTTCCTAACCAGAGAGCCTTTGAAGGAACCACTCAAGAGCTGACGGAGTAATAATCGTTGGTTTGAAATCTAAGTCAAGGTAGCAGGCCTACATCAGTAATGCACTTTACAAGGCCAACATTGTGAGGAGCACCGAGTTCAAGGTTTTTCCAAAGAAACAGAATCTGTTGGATTTTTTTTAATCCTCACCCAAACAGATGTTTTTACTGATTTTAGAGGGAGAGGTAGGGAGAGAGAGACATTGATCAGCTACTTCCCGTATGCCCCTCTATGGCAGATCAAACCTGAAACCTAAGTATGTGCCCCGACTGGGAATTGAACCCACAGCCTTTTGGTGTACGGGACGATGTTCCAAACAACTGAGCCACTCACAAGAGTGGAATCTGTTGGATTTTTATTTCCATTTAACCATCATTCAAGCAAGCAGACACAAGAAATAGAAAAGCAAGAGTTGGTGACCTGTTCAATCCATTCTGTTCTCCTGTGCCATCCAGTGGCCTAGAATGGTGGGCTAGCCCGTTTCTGTTATTAGAATAGGAGAAAAATGAATGAAGAGTCACAGTGCTGCCCACAGGGGAGCCAGGAAACTCGAAAATATGCCTGAAGAGGCGAAGAATCGAGAATAGGAGCAAACTTGAAAAGGCATTCGAGGGAGTCTTTTATGAGATGTGTGTGAACTCCGAGCTAAGGAGAGGGCGTTCACCTGCGGAGGCGCCATTGACCCTCAGAATGGCCACCGTCACTTCCTGGCATTTCACTAAAGGGCAAAGCAAGGCCCACGGAGACGTGTGCTCTCCTGAGGCTCCCGGCCCGTTAGTGGTCGAGTGAGGCGAACCCGCAGACTCTCAACAGGACTTCTCCTGCCACCTGACCGTTTACTCTCGTTCCTTCCTTCTGTTGGGTTACTTGTTTGGAATTTGTACCGCAGTGTTTATCTGGCTTATTAAATGCTAAGAAACTGGGGTATAAAGCCTTCGGTCACTTGCACAGCCTTTCAAAAGCTCCGTAGCGTTTTTCTCGTTGCAGCCCATACACTCTGTATGAGGGTATTCAGGAGAGCATCACAGGTCGACGTGGCCTCTCAGGGCCTCGGTCTCTTATCAGAACCTGGATGTGACCTCTGAGTTCCTTGTGGGCTCTGAAAGGTCATCAGTTCAGGAGATACAAAGCGCTTTGATCATACGATGCACTTGAGGGAAGTGGAACTTCTTGCTGGAGTCTGAGGGTAAGTCCCTCCCAGGAGCGGGTGCTGTGGGTGGATGTCCCAGAGCGTGGGACCGCGGCTAGTGCCAAGGGGGGATGTTGAGCGGCTGCCGATTCAGTGACAACAGAGAAGGTCGACACAGCATTAGTCTGCCGGTTGGTGCCGGGACGGGGCGTCAGAGGCATGCGCGCAGCCGCGAGGCAGAGTCGGGGAACCCCAGGCAAGGGGCGCGGCAGGGCTTGCGAGGGCGGGGGATGGAATCTGAAGGGCCGGGAGGGCGGAGTCCCAGGCAAGTTCACCCACAGCAACAGGAGGCGGGGTGGGGAGAAGGTGTGGCGCGGATGCA